TACCTGATTGCGACCTCTGGGATGAAGCCATGTTGCAGGCGCGGGTGGGTTGATTCTCGGAACTTGAATTGTGAGAAGAGACAAGACGTTGGGAAATGAGTGACAAACGGTGACTCACCAGTGACTCACGGTCTACCCGTACCCGTACCCGGCCGCACCAGGGTCGCAAACGGGTACCCGTACCCGGCCGGGTACGGGTAGCCGGGTATCGGGTAGAGTACGGGTATCGGGTACCCGGTTGCGACCTCTGAGCCGAACTCAGGTGGCCGGGTTTCTTTGCGTAGCGCTGCCGCAGCTACTGAGCGAGCACGTTGAGCAGCGTGTGTGTTCAGAAACCAGCTCAACCGCGCTGCAACACGTGGGCTCAGACACACTGCCAGAACAATGCCGCGATGTCACGGATACCCTGGGTTCGAATCCAGGTTTCAACCACTGCCTGTGATCAGCCCGGTGACCAATCAATCAATGACTTGCATAGAGACCCGTTGACTTGCTTGGATCGTGTTGTAGCGAGTTGATGATCTGTGGTCGGGTCACCAATTACTCCACGCAACAACAACAACAGCAGCAGCAAAACTGCCAGCACGTAAAATGTAGTCCTTCATTTAATTCGGCTAAATTCCAGTTCAGATAATTCAAACATATCGGGTGGACGTATCTTCAGGAATAATATTACTCTCGTACGGAAGAGCAGTCCTCTTATTTGTGGACCAGATTGTCCATTGGATGCCTCTTTCTTTTGTAAATCACTAAAGTTTCAGTGTGAGTGTAAATTTTAACATTAAAATTGCAATGTAATGTTTTTTTTTTATTAAAACAATGTTTTCATCTGTAATCGTGTAATGTTACAATGTTGCTCAATGGGCTTTACTCGGGAAAATCACTTCTGATTCTGATCAGAGGTATCGCTCTGTGATTCTAGATTTTAAGTTTTCGTGACTGCAAGGATTCATGCTCTTTGTTTTTTTCGGTAAAGTCACGTAAGTAAAAAATAAATAAATGAAAAAACAACTACATTCAATCACGACGTTTCAGAGGCAACGCTAGCTTATTACAGTGAATTTGGCTGTAACGGTTCCACCTGAAGACGGACGCTTGTTTTGCCTCCGAAACGTCGTGATTTAATTTAGTTATTTTTTTCATTTATTTATTTTTTGTGATGTTTACTCTACGACGGCGGTATTCTAACACGGAAGGCGACATCACCAAAATCCATCGACAGCATGGAAGAGTTTAAGATCGGCCTGAAACCCCGTTCATTTTCTCTTCTGGTAATACGGCAATACAGGCAGTCCTCGACTAACAATGGAGATGCGTTACGACGACTCCATCGTAAGTCGAAAATATCGTAAGTCGAAGATGGCCTAGCCTACCCAGGAGTCTTAAAGAAAGGTGTAAATTTAGCAAAGCAGAGCAATTTACAGTACCGTACTGTATAAACTATATACCGTATGTATTTATGAATTACAATACTGTATTGCACAGTAAAATTTAAAGTAAAAAAACAAGGTAAATTCTTAGCCTACCTATATGAACTGCAATTTCATAGAAATATTTTTCAGGAAACAATCCTATCTGTTATAAAAAAAAAACTTTTAACATGCATTGAACGTATCGTATCGTGGTAACCCTAAAATGAAATCGCTAAAGCTACGTATCACACCATGCGTTGAACGTATCGTAACGTATCATATTGTACTGTAGTCACCAAGATTCTGTCCGTCGTCTGCACACTTGAACGATGTTAGGTTTTTGATGGCCACATTAACTTATTTATCGGAAGAGGAGGATGGCGATGATAAAGTTTCAGTATCGCACCTCGTACGCTGTTGCGTTTGCCTGCCGCGCGAAATGTAAACTATGTTACAATATTGTCATATCGATATCGCCATCGTAAGATCGAAATAGCGTAAGTCGGAACGTCGTAAGTCGGGGACTACCTGTAATCCGATTCACGCCACCCCCTTTAAATTTCGATTTAAAGCTTTCGTGACTGCAGGGATTCAACTTCTTGGTTCTTTCGGTAAAGTCACGTAGAAGGGAAATAATAAAATAATAAGAATAAAACATTATAAAATACAATTCTCACGACGTTTCGGCCACAACGCAAGCAGCCGTCCTCAGGTGAAGAACAGGTCTGTCGAGAAGACAGCGTCTGAATGAAACACCACCACGCTTGGCAGCGTTTCGCAAACACGTAGCCGCTTTGCTATTAACGCCACCACTGCCTCATTTGCGTCGTCTCAACCGACACTTACGTCTGTCTAGATTTGAAGCTTTCGTGACCGCACGAATCCATACTCTTTGGTTTCTTTCGGTAAAGTCACGTGGGTAGAAATACAATACATCAAATCGCGACGTTTCGATCGCAACACACGTGGCCGTCACCAGGTGGGAAAACTCCGGCAAGAAATAACTGCTGATGACTATATACTCTTAGTTCTTTCGGTAAAGTCACGTAGGTAAAAAAATGAAATTAAAATTAATAAAAAATGAAATAAAAAAATCACGACGTTTCGGAGGCAACACAAGTCTCCGTCATCAGGTGGGACCGTCACAGACAGATTTGCTGCATCAAGAGTCACGAAAGCTTCAAATCTAGAACTGCTGATGACGATCGCTTGTGTTGCGATCGAAACGTCGTGATTTGTTTTATTTTATTTTATTTCTCACTACGTCACTTTACTGATTGATTCGAATATCGTTTTTTTATTTAAAGACACAGATCTAGAATTTCTTCGGTGGATAGTTAGCACGCGTGTGTGTGTGTGTGTTTTTTTTTGTAATATAAACGTGTTTTTACCGCGATGTAGACCCGCTAATCAAAACCTTCCTAACGCGGGCCCTGTGGTCCGCCGCCTCATTACGATCTCGGCGAAACTTGTGAACACTGACAATGAGGCTGAAAACAATAATTTCGGTTCGCGTGAGGTGTTAATGGAAAATATAATACACTGTGTCGTGAACAGCCAACGAACGCGCGCACACACGCAAGCGCGCACACACAAAAGTACATGGACATACACACACACACACACGTACATGGATACACACGTACATGGACACACACACGTACACACACACGTACATGGATACACACACAGGTACATGAACACACACACGTACATGGATATACACACACAAACGTACATGGACACACACACACGTACATACACACACACGTACATGTATACATGGATACACACACAGGTACATGAACACACACACACGTACATGAACACACACAGGTACATGAACACACACGCACACACACACACACGTACATGGATACATGGATACACACACACAGGTACATGAACACACGCACGTACATGGATATACACACGTACATGGACATACACACACACGTACATACACACACACGTACATGGATACATACACACAGGTACATGAACACACACCCATACATGGACATACACACACACACGTACATGGACATACACACACGTACATACACACACACACGTACATGGATACACACACACAGGTACATGAACACACACACACGTACATACACACACACACGTACTTGGATACATGGATACACACAGGTACATTAACACACACACGTACACGGATAGGCACATGCACGTACATAGACATACACGTACATGGTGGACTTAATGAAATACGATATTTTGTATGCAGTATATGACTTAAATAAGGCCACGTGCAAACACTCAGGTGCTTTGCTAATCTACAGATCATATATATATGTGTCTGTGGGGTGCTATGAGTCCTATGCAAGTCTACGGTTAAATATAAATCTATATATCCTATGCACAATGTATTTGGCCCGTGTTAATTTACTGTGTTTCGATGAAATATTATGTTAATCTAAGGGTATGGATACCCATCGAAGTCTTCGAGTCCTGTGTAAATCTATGAAGCCTATTTAAGTCTATGGGTCCTTATTCTTGGTTCTTTCGGTAATGTCACGTAGAAAGAACCAAGAATATGTATACTTTTAGGTTTTTTTCGGTAAAGTCACGTAGGTAAAAATAAATAATAAAAATTAAAATAATATAAATAATAACAGAAATAAAAAATAATAAATGTGATTTCTAATTTTTTTTATAAATGTGATTTATAATTTAAATTTCTGTTATTATTTATATTATTTGTAATTGTATTATTTATTTTTACCTACGTGACTTTACCGAAAAAACCTAAGAGTATGAATCATTGCAGTCACGAAAGCTTCAAATCTAGAAATAATATGTATCCCTGTAGTCACGAAAGCTTTAAATCGAATTTTCTTGCTGTTGTTTTCACACCTGACGACGATTGCTTTGTGTTGCAGTCGAAACGTCGTGAGAATGTTATTGTTTTATATATTTTAATTATTTTATTGTTTCCCTTCTACGTGACTTTACCGAAAGAACCAAGTATATGATGGGTCCTGTGTAAGTCTATGGGTCTCTGTGTGAGTCTATGCGTCTCTGTGTAAGTCTATGGGTCTCTATGCTAGTCTATGGGTCCTATGTAAGTCTATGGGTCTCTATGTAAGTCTATGTGTCCTATGTAAGTCTATGGGTCCTGTTTAAGTCTATGGGTTCTATGTAAGTCTATGGGTTCTATGTAAGTCTATGGGTCTCTATGTAAGTCTATGGGTCTCTATGCTAGTCTATGGGTTCTATGTAAGTCTATGGGTTCTATGTAAGTCTATGGGTCTCTATGCTAGTCTATGGGTTCTATGTAAGTCTATGGGTTCTATGTAAGTTTATGGGTCTCTATGCTAGTCTATGGGTTCTATGTAAGTCTATGGGTCTCTATGCTAGTCTATGGGTCTCTATGCTAGTCTATGGGTCCTGTGTAAGTCTATGGGTCTCTGTGTAAGTCTATGTGTCCTATGCAACGTGACGTCACCAAGCCACGAGCTCGTGAAAGTGATTGGCTGCCGTAAGTGCACCATTACTAGCGTCACGTCATTCGTATTGCGCGATGACGTCTTACGCATTTTCACTCAACGTAACGCGCGTATGCGTCATGACGTCACGCGTTATACGGGATGACGTAACCACCGCGCGTTGACATCACGCGTCTTCTCTCACCCATCGGATATCCGCCATTGAATTCAATCCCCGCGTTTGAATCCGCGTCCATCCGTCATGTCGTGAGTGTTTGCGCATCGCCATCGCACACTCATTCGCACTTCCACTCCCTATTCACCTCCACAGTGGCGACGCATTTTTTGTTTGGCGGCCGATGTTTATGTATTAATCGATTTGGTTGTGTGCTAGGCCTCGGTCAGGCCTAGTAGGCCGAGGCTTTATGCGGCTGTTTTTAGTTTCAATGAAATTTTATTTAACATTTTTTTGTTGTGTCCAGTCCGTGTTGTTTGTGACGACAAGATGCGTCCCGTAACTTTTAGCGCGGCGCGCGAGCTTCTGTTGCCTGTCGTTAAATCTGTACGCGGTGGGTAGGCGATGTTAATCGTGAGTGCATTGAAGCCGTCGGTGGTGATGGCCGTGAGGTGGCAGGCCGTTTCGTTGGTGGTAATATTTAGTCTGTGATGGTGATGCACTTGAAGTTGGTGGCGATGGTACCGTAGTGATGGGGACGTGAGAAACTTGCTACCGGTAGCGATTAAAAGTTATGTTGGAGATGATAGCTGCGTTGAAGCTCGCTGTGATGGTTGTGGTGGTGATATTGGCGTAGTTATTGGTTAAGCTGGGAGTGATGGTAATGTTGTATCTGGAGCGTTACGTTACGGTGATGAAGACGAGGCTTTAAATCATGATTTATTATTGAGAGCACGCTAACCGCTCTTGTTAAACTCGCGGGCCACATCGCTCAGCTCGCAATCTTTACACTTTCTCACGTGAACAATCTCCTTCTATGGGCGAAAACATTAATACTGTTGTACCAAAGTTGTGGGAAGCTAGCAATGATTATAATCCAGTCGCTTCCCAAACCCCTTTCCACGTGAAAGTGGAATTTCCACCACTGCTTTTAGGCCACTAACAATGTCTAAACCCCGCCACCCTATTATGATTGCTCCTTTGGCAACCGGCTGGCTAAACGGGATCGTCTGGATAACAAATGAAAATCAACGTAAACTTTTAGCTGGGGGACGATTGTTATTGTGCAGTATTTGCTGCGACTATCGCTTGCAAACGAGGTGCATGTAGCAACTGTAAACTACCCGAGTCCATTCAGAGTACAATAAATATTTCATCAAAGGAGACCTGGATCACAAAGCAGGAGAGTAAACATGTAAACAAAGACTTAAAAGAATGGTCAAAACAACACAAGACTCGTATCACCTTTCAAACTCGTATCAAGTTCAACAATTCAACACACGACGCAGTGAACTCGCCCGGTTCTCAAAAGTTCATTGATTTTCTGCTCCCGTAGGCAGAAATGGCTTGAGGGGGGGGGGGGGGGAGGTCTTCCTTCCAGCAGGTGATTGGTCACGTCTAGTTATGATGATGATAAGTGGTTGATCATGTTACACGGTCAGGGCTGTGTATAGGAGGTTGATGATCTCAGCTCGGTTATAAGTAAGTGGGTTTTAAATTGGGAATAGGAGACATGGTCATGCATTAACAACAGCTCAACGGGTTGGAGAGCTTTTAGAACATGTAGTTTAATAATGAAAGACAATAAATAAATGGGCATATATAAAGACAATTTTAATCGTGGTTGTATTAGCTGCAATGGCTGAGTAAGCATACACATTGACAAAGAATGGATCAAAAGCTGGAAAAGTGCCCTTAAAAGTGAGGTCATGTGCATGCTGAGAATTACACAAACGATAAGACCAACACACGCGTTATTGGACATACCCAAGTAGCGACATCGTAGTGACTTTTGATATTGACTGGAAAATAAGTGATGGCAGGACACGTCTCTTAACATGGATGCGACTCGTGGTCAAAGTTCAGCTTATTAAAACAAAATAATATCCCTCTCTGTTGCATTTCAATGAATGCATTTATATGGAAGGAGTGGACCGAACGGTGATTGCCGAAAAGCATCTATGAACCCGGCCCCCTAAGTTTTATTCCCAGCCATGGCGAACATCAGTGGCGATTGATATCTGAACTGGTGCTGGGCCCTCCTTCCTCATCAATCAAAGTGTATTGGTCGCATACACTGTTAAGCTGATGTTATAGCGGATGCAGCGAAATGCTTGAGTTGTCAGCTCCATAATAGAATGTCTCTAACAAATAAAACAAATTTGGAGAAAAAAAAATTACGAAAATTCATGAAGCCATTTCAATCATGGTGATTGTTTGACCATACTTCATCGTTGCTGGTCAGTGCCGGTCGGTAAGGGGGGAGCGGGGGGTGGGGAGCCAAGCCGGGTTTAGATATCGCAGCACTTATGTTAGCCGTGGTCAGGAACCAAACTCATGCCACCGATGCTCGAACCACTGCTACACCCCAAATGCATTTTGTTGAAAGTATAAAGGACGCACACGATATTATCCTCTTTGCAAGTGAGATACGTTTTATGGAATTAGTATGCAATCTATTTTTGTTATTTAAAAAAAAACAAGATAAATGGCACCGATTCCAATAAAAACAAGCGATCCTGAAAATCATTAACGAATCTACGTGTGCAATCAAGCAAATAACAATTTGTAATTGTTAGTACATGTATCCTCTCGGTAGCCTACGGCAACTTTTTATGCACAATAGTTGTCCAAGCACTGTCTAGATCAGGGGTCGGCAACCTACGGCTCCGGAGCCGCATGCGGCTCTTTACGGGCTGCTTCTTGACGATACGTACGTGAGTACAGTATATGTACTCAGATGCATTGCGGCTCTTGAAATACTGAATTTTGTACCGAATTGGAAAGAAATGGCTCTTCTTGTTATTTTGGTTGCCGACCCCTGGTCTAGATTCAACTCTGCTTAGCTTAGCTCTAACTAGATTGGCCACATGCACAATGATTTTGTTCCTTTGAGGATATATTTTTTTCTTGTTGCATCTTAAAAATGTATATTACCTTCAAGCGAAAGTTTTGCAGCGAGTTGGTTGTTAAGGGCACTGTGACCCCCCCTTCCCCCCCCCGGCAGTCTCCTCAACAAACCGAAGAGCGAGATGACGCCCGAGGAGCTGTCGAAGCGTGAGGAGGAGGAGTTCAACACGGGCCCGCTCTCTGTGCTCACGCAGTCCGTCAAGAACAACACACAGGTCCTCATCAACTGCCGCAACAACAAGAAGCTGCTGGCGCGAGTCAAGGCCTTCGACAGGTGCGATCGAGCCGCGGTGGGGTTGGGGGGGTGGCGACAAACTCGGCAAGACGATGGCGGCGTTGCCAAACGTTGGGGTTTGGTGCAGCGTACCAACGGTCGTGGTGGTGCTGATGATGCTAGTGGTTGGTGGTGGTGCTGTTGGCTTTTGTGGAGATGGTAGTCGTGATGGTGTTCTTGGTTCTTTCGGTAAAGTCAAAGTCACGTGGCCGAAACGTCGTGAGAATTATTTTATTATGTTTTATTTTTATTATTTTATTATTTCCCTTCTACGTGACTTTACCGAAAGAACCAAGAAGATAAATCCCTGCAGTCACGAAAGCTTTAAATCGAAATTTAGCCGTGATGGTGTTGGTGGTATTTTCTCCCGAGTGGCGATGTTTACACACCGCACCAAGCAGTGTTGGGAGCGGTAGTGCAACGGTTTGCCAACTGCACTGCGAACCCGGCAACCCGAGTTCGATTCCCGCTCACGGTTGACAGCAGTGTCAATTGTCTGAATCGGTCCTGGGCCTCTAAGCTCGACTCTGCCTCAAATGATTACCTGATGTGGTGTGTAGTAAACATCACCAAAGGGCAGTAGGGAGTGGTCCTGGCCACCAACCCCCAGGTGTCCTGTGCCAGCCTTCATAGGTGCTCGTTATCAATACCTGCCCCCAACAATCTGTTACAGGCCATACGGGTGGGATCTTTGACTTTGGTGGTTGTGATGGTGGTGACGGTGCGTCTGGTGAAGTTGGGTGTGGTGAGGGCGCTGCCTATGGTGGTAGTAATGATAGTGGTGGTGATGATGGTTTTGATGTGATCATGCTGGTGGTTAGACTTGTATTAATTAACTCCCCCTCCGCCCACCATTTCGAAAAATGATTAAAGTCATAACGTTGCCTTTTTTCCACTGCCGCATTTGCGCTGCCTCTGCCTTGCCGCACGACGTTGATTCCACCTGCTTGCGGCAGCGCTAGCAGGCACCGTTGCAACTGCTCGCCCCAATACTTAACTCAATCCAAACGAAAACTCTGCGGGAGATCGCATTGTTCCGTCAAATCGCTCCCGCGCGCTGTCGAGTGCCAATTACAAGCACCTCGTATTGACTCGATGCTAGCAGCGGACACACGAGACCGCCGCCACAGCATCGTTGACAGATTTTTTTTTTTACTTTTACCTTAACCCCCCCCACTCCCCCGTAGAATCTGCTCGCATTGAGCTGCTGTGAATACCCACTTCACCGATAATACCACCGCCATCTCTGCCTCACAATGGAGGTTTCGCAAGCGCTAAGCTACAACGCCGCTTTCTAACGCCGCTAAAACGTAGCCTCGTTATAATTTTTTTTGGACGCACGCGTAAATCTCAGGCGGCTTTCGGCGAAGCTCGTCTCTGCGTCGTCGTATGGTGTCGCACGACGATTACCGCAGCCGCCTCCTCCGCGGTTGACGCTGACGTGCGAACGCGAGAGGCCGCGCAGAGAAACGCCGTCAGCGCCGCCACCGCCCCATCTGCCGGCTTCGTGTCCGACCTGAAAGATGAGGAGGCCATTGTGCGTGTGGAGGGGGGCCCCAAATGAACCATCTGGTGCAGAGGCGGACTGGGCTGACGTGAATACCTCCCAAGACAAATGCGCGTGGAAGTGATTTGCGCGAGGCTTATTGTTGGCTTCCTTGTGAGCTCTCGCTCGCGCGCGCGCGCTCTCGACAAAACAAAAAAATCCACCCATTACAAGAGTTGTGCTAAGTGGACGGAACTACAATAGACGCTTGAAAGGTGTGAGATGGGGTCACGCCTCGTACAAGACGCTTTGTAAATCCGATTTGTATTGTAGTTGCGCGTGTGATGTGATAATAATGACTTGCACAGCCCCCTTGTCAATCTACTGCCCACGGGGGATTGTTGAACCATACTTCGTCACAATGGTTAGTTGGTCAAAGTCAGAGCCATGGACCGGTTAAGATATTCAGATATCACTCGATGTTAGGCGTGCCTGGGAATTGATCTCTGCTTGCTGTGTTTACAGTGCAGTGCGCTGCCTCCATGTTGTGTGTGTGTGAGCAATGCCAATAATGTGTTTGGCAGAGTGCATTTATAAAATGTGCAGCTTTACTGAAATGTAAGCATTGCAGCCATTGACTATCCACTGCTGGATGACAGCCACCTCTTGCTGTGTCACCATCTTGTATGTCTTTATGATATTACCATACAATAAAACTGAAACAAATAAAATTGTGAAATGGCAGGGGCAGCTGTGGCACAGTAGTTGGAGCACAGCACTATGAACCTGGAGAACCCTGAGTTCGATTCCCAGCCGCAGGCAACATCGCAGCGGGGAGTGATATACGAACCGGTCAATGTCCTCCCCGCCCCCCATCCTCTTCTCCAACCCGCTCTAACCAGGGTGAAGTACGGTCACGCAACAACCCCATGACCAACACGCCATTGGGTTGACCATGCAGCAGTTGATTCGCAAAGAGCTGTGAACCGTCTACCAAAAGTCTTAAGTGTGCTCCATTTACCGACATTGGCTAACCACCAAAGTGCCTTGTTTCACGTTGCACTTGTTAGTAGTGCCTGTTGTGCACAGCACGCACGGTTATCTTTGAATGAGTCGACCAACCCTTTCAAGCGGTGCGGTTTTGCTTTGGCAAATGGAAAAGAAATTCCCGCAGCTAGTGTTCACTCGGGGGTCCTAATATCCTCTCAAGAATTCTCTTTTTTGAGGAGGAAGACGACAACAACAAAAATCCACATTAAAAAGTCATTAGCGCAAAGTATAGACCGCAGGTATAAATTTTTTTTAGTGTTGGCCGATAAACACCCCGCAGACGAGAACGGCCTATCCGGAGTTCCGCACAGGAGGTGTGAACTCAACTCAAATAAGCGCTGGCGGTGGCAGGTACAAAAAAAAAAACACCCCGCAAACACAAAGCAGCGTTACGGGGGAAAAGAGGGGAGCTTAATCCTCGCGGGGAGGGAGGCCGCCGATAGGTGTGTGTGTGTGTGCGCGCGCGCGAGGAGGTATTTGTATGTGTGTCTTGCACTTCCTTTTCCCACTGCTCCGTTTGGCTCTAACAAAAGCTCGCCGAGGGGGGGTGGGGGGTCGCGCTTGCCCCCGAATCTCCCCCCCCTCGGCTTTGCCGATGAAAAGCGTCGCGGCAAATTCCATTCCGCGAGAAAATTTTTGTCGGGGGGGCGGCGGGCAGGGGGGGGGGGGTTGGCGAAAGTGGCCTGTCCGTCAAAACCCCATTCCTGCCCGATTCCTTTCACTCTATTTGTCCCGAAAACTTCCCGGCAAATAGCGGTTATTGTGCGATAAACTGCTATTGTCGTGCCCGGTGAGGCCGTTTCCTGTGCGGTTAATTGGGTTTTATTCGTCAAAGCTGGTTATTATCCATTAATTGCTGTTAACTAGGGTGGAAGATGATGCCCGGGGAGTGCTTGTCTTTTGGGCGACAAAGGCCAGGGCTGCAAACAAAGGCGGGTTCAGCCGTCTGTGTGTTTTGGAAAGTGCCCAAGCGACTGCGTTGAATTTGGGGGCCTGTTTATCAGCTTATGTCGCTCGCCCGCTCTGATTATTTTGGGCTTAGAGCGCGTCTGGGGCCAGGGCCTGTCATTCACACCACAGCCAGGGTCCTCCCGCGCCCCACACGCACACACGCGCACACCCCGCTCTCTTCCCCCCCCCAGCCCCCGTGAATGAGCCGCAGATGTGAGTGCGGCGGCGTGGAGGCCCTTGAGTGTGCAGCGATGCAGCGTCGATCGGTGCGAGCCCCGAGGAGCCCAGGGTCGTGCCGTGTGCAGTGCGCCCCATTTAGAGGCGTGAATAGCCTCCGATGCCTCATTCTTGCCCAATTTCAAAAGCATTCTACTAGCCGTGTTGTGTGTGTTTTTTTTTTATCCCCGCTCACACTCTCGTCGACTCGTCCGTCTTCCACCGCTGCCGCCTCCTTGTCCTGCTCGAGTCTGCGCTTGGCTCTCTGGCGAGCGCGACATTGCTTCGATAATAATCTATTATCGTGTCGGCGGCGTGTATACGTGTGTCCAGTCGCGCGCGTGTATACCAATCGGCACTTGCCCCAACAGTCTGTTGACGGCTATACGGGATTCTTTGTCTCTGTGTGAATCCGTTATTTATGATTTACACAAATTGTACGCGCGTCACACGCGACTGTGTTACGTTTGGGCTAATGGAATTAATGAGGCAGATGATAATGCAGCGTGGACGGACGTGTAACGTACGAGGCAGACGTCGGCAACGGGAGAGAACTTGCGCGGCAGACAGTACAAGATGAGGATTTTAGTGTTATAATATCGCGCAAGGCGTGATGGTGCAAATGCAACGCGAGGCAGACGACTCGGAGGCAAAACCTCACCACAAAAGAGACGAAGAATACAAAATCAGACGTCCGTCTGAACGATAGAAGTCGCGCAATGAGACTCGCCGTGGAAGTAAAAAAAGAATACAAAAAATGCAACACCTGAGACAATGCGAGATGATTCTTCGTTCTGAATCGCAGTCCCGTGAGAAATTTTCTCCGCGGCTGAATTGCTGCTACCCCAGCCCCCGGTGCCTCCTTCCTCGCCTCTTTCCGCCGTTGCTGCTCTTTGCCGACGCCGGTTTATTATAAAGGCGTCGGAATCGGTTATTATAAAGCTGTCAAATTCCGAGCGTGCGCGGGGAAAAAAAAAAACATTGCCACGTTTTTTTAATGAATGAAATAAACTAAACGTGTATTTTTAAATACAGATCACCGTCTGTAATTTTGCTACATGCCGAGGAGCAATATTTATGAATTGCGTATGAACTATTTAATAATTGCCGTTAACTCAGGTAACGGCAATTAACTCGCTGTGTTCTCAGTAAAGGCGCCTTGCCTGAAACATCTGGAGTGTTTTTGTTTTGCTTGTTAAAAGTGATCAGACTACTTTTTTTATGTTTGTTTATTTGTTTTTCCAATTATAAATCGAGATCCACAATTGCTATGGGTATGAGCAGTGTCCCGAAAATATCTGTCGAGTAAATTTAACTTTTACAAAACGCAAATTTTGACAATTTTGTTTAGAAAAAGGGGTCTGACCTGACCTGGACAAAGGGGGCAATAATTTTTATTTCGCGGACACAACCGACGGGCAGCCCCCGCCACATTACGACCGTCTGCACGTTGCACACCGAGCCAACGCAGGCAGCGCTCACGAGGTCGTGCCTGTTGGGATAAGGCGAAGAGAGTGGGGAGGAGATTGCGCGCAACCACTAAGACGCGTCCGTCGTGACGGACGGCGGCAGCGGTGCGCCACAGTCGGAGCAACGTCGGAGCCATCCGTTGTCTTCTGAGCTGTTGTAATTCTCCCCTCCCCCCGTGTCCGCGCGCACGCCTCTCTCTCTCTCTCTTCAACGTTTCCGCGCGTCTCCTGTCGCCTCAGGCACTGCAACATGGTGCTGGAGAACGTGAAGGAGATGTGGACAGAGGTGCCCAAGAGCGGGAAGGGCAAGAAGAAGTCCAAGCCGGTGAACAAGGATCGCTACATCTCCAAGATGTTCCTGCGCGGAGACTCGGTCATCATCGTGCTCAGGAACCCGCTCACGAGCAGCAAATGAGAACGGCCGAAGAGCTTCTCTACAATTCCCTCTCGGGCTGTCTGTCGGCTGTTCGCGCTGGCTGGCCGGTTGTCTGTCGTTGATCTGTCACGGCCGGGGGTCGGCAATTATAGTAACAAGAAGCGGCGATTATTTTTTCCCTTAAAAAATTCGGTAATAAAAAAAAACACTCGTTATTTCACGAGCCCGCAATACACACGTGTGACTCCGAGACGGGGGGTGGCCCCTTGATCAGTAACGTCACGAAGTCCGCTGGTTGCCGACCCCCCCCTCCCCCGGTCATGGCTGTCGACAGCCCAAGTCAGCCGTTTCGTGAGTCTTAGCAATCGGTTGGTGGGTTTTTGTCAATATTTAAGTGTCAGCCATTCAGCCAGTTTTTACGTCAATCTGCCAGTCAAGTCAATCGGTATGTCCGTCGCTTTTTTGTTCTCAGCCGGTCAGTGCGTTTGTCAGCATGTCTCGTCAGTCAAGTGCGGTCTTTTTTTTTACATTTGTTCCAACAAGCTGATCAAAGGAGGACACCTGTGACGAGATAGATCTATTTAAGATACGGAAAAGTAGGGGAGCAGGAAACAGGAATGAAAAAGCGAAAAACAAAAACCCATTATAACCGTGCGGGCTCGTGAAGGGCTTTAACGGGGAACGTCTGTTGTGGATAACGATGTTTATATGCTGGAGAGAGGCGAGTGCAGCGATGTGCGTGGTTTCCATTTGTACTGTTTTTTGGCCTTTAATAAACTTTTGATTTCTTTTTTCAATAACCGCTGGCGATTTTGTGCCCCCCGCTTCTTTTACACAATTTCAAGTTCGCCGCACGACGGGAAAAAGCGACGTTCAACGGCGCTCGCCAAGTGACGTTTTTGTAATCCCACCTCACCCTCCATCGGCAGGAAAGGTCGATGTCGTCACTTGGCGTCTCTCTCGCGAAGAGCGGCGGGGGGAAGAGGGAAGGCGGCCCGTGCGCAGATTTCTCCGCTCGTAATCTCTGCACAACTATTTACGCTGCGCGGGATGCCACGCGAAGGCATTTGCATTTTATTTATTTTTAATTTTCAACGGCTGTACTTCATGCGTGTCAGCACGGAGCCGAATTTAATTACCGTAAGCGCCTTTAGAATATCCTGGCTTTTTTAGCATTAATGCTCCCATCAACACCGCATTTAGCTCCGCAAGGTTATTGTTAAATGTGGCATTGGTGTGACTAATGCATTTTTGTGTCAAAACATGAGCCCTTGCTTGTCACGAGGTGAGAGAGATTCTACGACCCGACCTTTAAATAAAAAAAAGGGGATGGGAACACCTCCCCGAGCTTCCCCGCAGCCTCGCCACCTTTGAAAACTGACACTTTACAGACGACGTTAATTGTCTTCCAGTACAATACCTAAACAGGCTGTCGGGGCGGGATTAATAGTTTTGATGTACGCGTTGCTTCCAGGCGCGATATAAAGTATCACAGCGTGACGGATACCAGAGTAGCTCGTGCGTGCGTGTGTGTGTGTGTGCCTGCAGGCAGTTGTCATCGCTGTCACTTAGGAGAGCTCCGAGTCGCCGCGCTCCCAGTTTGGGTTACACGACGCCCCCCCCCGCTTGAGCCTGCGCCTGTGCGTGCCCCAACACAGCTCGTTTCCCGGTCGCACTCGCAATTAAAAGCAAAGCTCCCGAAGCCCAGAAGGCGCTCTCCCCCCCCTCTCCTAACCCACCCGCACGTGAATAAGACGAAGAAGAATGCTGTTATTTCAAACTTGTCAGGATCGATTACAAAGTTTGCGGGATAATGTATGTTTTGGTGCGCGGGTTTTTAACGCTGAACCCTCGCGTCCTCTGCGGGCCGTGATTGACGTGGCGTGGGTGTTGAAACTTTTAAAGGTTAAACAGACACGGCGGTAGCGGACCCCAGACAGCTCGCCCTCGAGCCTGCCCACCGACTACTCACCTGGTCACCCACTCAGCTGCTCACTCACCTACTCACTCACCTGGTCACCCACTCGCCTCCTCACCCACTCACCTGGTCACCCACTCAGCTGCTCACTCACCCACTCACACACTCACACACTCACAGACTCACCCACTCACCCACTCACCCACCCACCCACACACACTTACCCACTCAGCTGCTCACCCACTCGCCTGCTCACCCACTCAGCTGCTCACCCACTCGCCTGCTCACCCGCGCATCTGCTCACCGCCGCGGAGGTCTAACCACGTGAATTCTCCCATGCCGCTCCTGCTTTTAACGATATGAGGACTCGTTACCCCTCCACAGAGGAGTGCCACCACCACCGTACTCACTGGGCGCCTGACGTCCCGCCATCCTTCCAACAAAAACTCTGCGTCAACGGCAGCGGATTGCCCTTGCCCGGCGGATTGACGAGCTTCCATCGCGAAGTTGTTCTGACAATCCGTCGCTTTTTAAATCCTTTATATTAAGTTCGCTTGCGCGCTTAGAACCGTGCAACTCTTTCAGTCGTTTTTTAACCCACTTCCCGTGATCCAATCGAGCTGACATTTTGCACACAGACTCGTTGTGCGTGACAATTTATTTGCGTGAAAAAAAATTTCCACTTTTTATGGGGAAAAAATTTAATATTTAACTTAAAATACCAATGTGATAAAAATTAAACTCTTACTCAAGAAAAACAGAAATGAATAATAAAATAAAACCGATGCCACGCATATAAAGGATTTATAGTGAAAAACTTTGTTTTTACGGGTTAATTTTTTTCTCTCGTTGAGTCGTTCCGACAATCCGTCGTTTCGTCGTTTTTTTCTCTCTATCGTCGTTCCGACAATCCGTCGTTTTTCTCTCTGGCGAGTCGTTCCTTTTTATTATTACACGCTTTTTATTAACTCACTCTGTTGTTGTATCCTCAAATATTCTAACTAAATTTGTACCCACTTCCCAATGTGGTATCGACTGCAAACTTGGTATACGTATGTCATACTGATGACAAGACTATATTCTATAAAAAAAAAATTTAACATTTTTTTATATGTAATGTTTCGGCTTGGATCTAATTGTCCACGCTCAACTGACGTTGGCTGTAAATCACCACGCTCCCTTACGTTACGGCAAGCTTCGGGGCCACTTCCTGGAGTCGTGGAGTTCTGCCATTACTAGTACGGTACATTTCATTAAAAAAGTTTGTTTTTAATATTACTAATTTGTTTGCCAAATTGATTCTTCCGAATGGTTTCCCTCCGTTCGCCTCGATGGTGACGTTTCCATCGCGAAGCGTCATTGTCCACCAGCACTGTCATCGTGAGCTGTGAGCAATCCACTGCTGGTCACAGACCTCCGATCGTAGCCGTCTCGCGTGGCCCTGGGTTGTAGCGATGTGCGCACGAAATTGAATTTCTTTCACGCCGCGCGTAGCCAAACATGCTAATCTGCGGTGCGGTGGAAGGCCAAACTAAAACGCAAAAAAACACTTCTAAAGCAATGAGTTTTCAATCTCGATTTAAAAGTGGCACAGCTCCCAACGGCTTCCTAATATCGGAAGGAAGAGCGTTCCAGACGGCCGCAGAAGCGGGGTCCGTCTTTGTTCGATGGCCAGCCAATAGCTGCTACCGCTGCGGCGATGAGCGGAGTTCGCGTGATGATGGTTGATGCTTCTTGACCAGATCAGCGGAGGTATTGTGGCTCATTTGTGGCCGAGCACTTTGTGTCTAATGATTGCGAGCTGATTGCGTTGCGTACAGGATTCGCATGTCATTTGCATTCCATTAGCATCACCTGTAAACATGCCTTGTTGTTCTTGCACCCATGCGATGGGTGGATTGCGAGCGTAAGAATTCTAATCGGTCGACTGCTTCGCGCGAACACGGTTCACGCCGCACTCGGCAGGGTGGCCCAGAAGTCAGGACACAGGGCTGGATGCACATTGGTGAATGGACTGAGTGTCCTGATAGATCAGGGGTCGGGAACCTTTTTGACTGGGAGAGCCCTGAAAGCCAAATATTTCTAAATATATTTCATTGAGAGCCATGTAGTAAATTTTTTAACGTGTGATAAATGAAATGTGTCTTACTTTTAATGCGACTGCTGATCACGGGACCCGTGACCCGAGAAATTAATTTCTTAAAAACTATTTTTTGTTCACTTTAAAATGACACAGTATTATTAAGCAATATCACAAGTATTTTAAAATCAGTTCCAAACTGATTTTATTTGTATTTTTTTATTATTATTTTTTTCAACTCAGAATTGTCTGGGAGCCATATGCCGTCACCGGAAGAGCCATATATGGCTCGCGAGCCATAGGTTCCCAACCGCTGTGATAGATGAATGAATGGGCGCGTGCATGATGGAACGTGCGGTTGGGTGGAGGGAGAAAATGAATGGTTGATTGGACGAATAGATGAGTGGATGTGTAGATGCAAGAAAGGATGGATTGGTGGTTGGTTGGTTGGAGGATAGATTGGCATTGTCATGAGTCACATGAACGGATGGATGGGTGTGTACTCGGCCCATTTAAATGTGATAACGCGTGGATATGGTTGCATCGATGAATCGGAATTCCTACGTTATTGGGGCGAAGAGTCAACGAACGGATGGGATTGATGGATAGGTCGTTGAATGAGGGACTTAATGAATGGTTTAAAGCTTTCGTGACTGCAGGGATTCATCTTCTTGGTTCTTTGGGTAAAGTCACGTAGAAGGGAAATAATAAAATAATAAGACGCTGTCTTTCCGACAGACCTGTTCTTCACCTGAGGACGGCTGCTTGCGTTGTGGCCGAAACGTGAGAATTATTTTATTATGTTTTGTTTTTATTATTTTATTATTTCCCTTCTACGTGACTTTACCGAAAGAACCAAGAAGATTAATGAATGGGCATTGAGATGAGTGATCGAATACATTAATAATAAGTGGGCGAGTAGGTTATTAATTAGGGGGTGTGCCGTTGGCTGGAAGAAAGAATGAAAGAACGACTGCGTAGACGAATGAATGGATGGACTGATGTGAATTTATGGATGGGCAATGACTCAGGCCTCTCCCCTCTCTCTCTCTTTCTCAACATCTCGGCACCAAAACAAAAAGACCGGCACCCTCGCGGCTGTCGGAGTGCGAGTTTGAGCCCGGGGTAAGGAAACCCTCCGAGTCGGGTTCCGCGCTGCCGCACACACAAAGACAAAGACCCCCCGTGTAGCCTCAACAGACCCTTGGGGCAAGTGCTGTTAGCGAGCGCCTTACCTCGTTAAATATTTATATATTTTTTGGTTTAAATAAGAAAAATGCGTTGCAGTAGCACTCGATGATAATTCGGCGTGGCGCGCGAATGGGGTTGGTGTGTGGTCAACACCACGCCCGGCCGCCTTTGTCTCCCCAGTGGCGACGTTCACGCAGCGCAACCAGCTACTCATTTGAGGTCGAGTCGACCTAGGGGGGATGCCCAGCGGCGGCTCGAATATATTCGCCACTGCTTTAATCGATTGTGAGTTTTGGGAATGGAACTCTGCTCAACCGCACACACACACATGGACGAGTACGGGCACACCCACGCGGCACATAGTTTGTGCGCTGTATTATGAACGCTAATATTATTTTTATTAGTATGTCATTACGGCCGCGCGCTATTCTATTAGAGAGATTAATGTCAGGCGTGTTGCGAGCCCCGTGTTGGGTTTCTCGCGAGGTGCAGAGACCGCGGGGCCCTTGCGAGAAGGCGAGGCCGGGACACGTGACGGGTGGCGTGTGTGTGAGTGAATGTGTATGTGAGTGTGTGTGAGTGTGTGAGTTAGTGTGAGAGTGTGTGTGTGT